CCACCCCGTCTTTCCCGTGTATGTGCGTTTGTGTGCTGGTGCTTTATATAAGAATCCAGCCGTTCGCGTGAATGTCAATCAGTCAGCGAGCCGTCTGGCGAGAGCTTTTACTCTTAGTAAACTGACTTGTGTTCGGTTTTTTAAAAAAAAGAATTCTATCTTAAGGAAGAGGAAAAGAATTATATTACGTCCTCAAAACAGTTTGTTGATTCTGGGCATCAGTGTTTCCGCCTCGGTATCATTTCGGTAATGTCAAAAGCTTTAAAATAATAATATAATAATCATTGATTCTCGTGATCGAGAGTGCAACAACATTCGCCGAGGCTACGACCATGCTAAATGCAAAGCCACGTGCGTTTACGGATAAATTGTGGAATTTAAAAAGAAACCAACAAAAAAGAAACCCACTACAGAAACAGAGTGCCATTCCGTTTACGAACTCAGATGAGACACAGACTCAGTTATGTCATTAAGTAGATGGACTGGATAGTGTGTTTTTTAGAACAGCTTTGATTCACTTTGATAGTTCGTTATTTTCCTTAATAATCTCGTGTACTGCTCCAGGATCTCTGCTGTGACCGTGATAGATTATATACTCTATGTGTGTGTGTTCGTGTGTGTGTGTGTGTGTGTGCGCGCGCGCGCGGTGCACACGCGCAAGTGTCTCCTGGTACGGATAGTTCAACTTTGCCCTAGTTCGCCGTACAGTTGGAAAAGTTTTTAAAAGATCGACTTTGTTTTAATCATATTGTGTTTCATAATGTTATCCATAACAATCAGTGCACAATATCAATACATTCATTATATATTATAATAAGTTTCAGACAGCCGCATACTGCGGATTGCTGGTCCTTGCTCTACTACACGATATTTTGCCATGGTTCTTGTTTGTAAGTTGGTTGTAGGTGGGAGGTGAAGTGGGTTTGAGGGGTTGTTGGGGTTTGTTTATTTTTAGGGGGAGGGGGGTGTTGGGGTGGCTTTTTTTTTTTGTTTACATGAGGGCCATTGCAGGGTCTTTTTTGGGGTAGGGTTTGGGTTAGGGTTAAATCTCTTCTTTTTTTTGTGTGTGTCTTTTGAGTATTGATTAAAGTTATCAAACATGGAACGTCTCAATACAGTCAATGCACAGGTCAGAGTCAGACCATCAACTCTGAGACTTGCGGAAAGTTTACTTTGAGGTTTGAAGTATGGAAATATTTTCAAAATATCCCTTTTTTTTGCTTCTTTAGCTGCAGTCTCTCCTGCTAAGCTAGGATGGCTGACCTGTTTGTAGCCCTCCCTCCTGTCACTTCATTTGGTGCTGTGCTGTTTGGCAAGAACTCCAACCGACCTGCCTCCGAGATTCAGGATGTGGTCAACTTCCCCGCCAAAGATTATGGTAGTGGAGAAAAAGTCAAGGTAAGTCCGTGTTGGCGTATTTGTCAGGGGGATTTGTCAACTTAAGATTGGTGAACAGTCAGCCTATATATAGTATCTTCAGGTTCGGAGTCTGTTATTTCAACCCTTTTTTGAATAAATATATTCTGTCATCTTTTTTATGTGCACTCTATCTATCCATCAAGACAAAAAGTAGTCCTGCCACTGACAAATCCTTTTATTTTTTGGTAAGTGTTTTATGGCGCTCGCAACTGCATATAGTCATATGAGCGTGCGGGACACATTAGACATTTTCAGTTGGTAGGAGATTTTGAATTTTTCTTGGGTGGCGGCAGAAGCCTACTGTATTGATTTTGAACCACTCAAGGGATCTATTCAAAATTTCCTACCAACTGAAAATGTTTAATGTGTCCCATGTGCGCTCATATGACCTTTTGCAGTTGTGAACGCCGTAAAACACTTACCAAAAGAAAAAGAAAGAAAAAACAAGCGCAACTTGCACACAGAATCTCCAATATTTGTTACCCTTATCCGAGAAGGCTAGGTGTTAGGTCTTACCAACTATAAGATCAGGGGTATGGCTGAAAGATAGCAGTAAGTAGGAGCCAAGGAGTAGCAGCAGAAAGGTTGCAGAAAGAGTCAGGAGCCCAGAGGAGGGGTCAAAAGAATTGAGGTGGTGGGGGCAGAAAGTTTTGACAAAAGCAGATGACAGAACATGAAAACAGGAAAGAAGGTGAAAGGAGAAAATGTTTAGAGAAGAAAATGTTCTGTTCCTGTCCAGATTTGAACCTGGGACCTATTGAATGAGAGGCGAACACTGTAACCTCTCGACCACAAGAGCCCCCTGGCAAATCTTTGCTCTTCCCAACAGCATGTGAAGTTTAGAGTCTTGTTTTATTTTTCCAACTCAATTTACATGTGTAATTGTGGAGTATACGAATGCAGCACAAAGACTATTGGAATGTAGAATTGTGTTGATCATGTTATGATATAATAAAAGAACCTAGGCTATCCATGTTAAAGATGTAGATGCAGAAAGCTGCTGACACCAGCTGGAACAACATTTGCAGCAAGAGATTTCTTATCTTTCCTGTCATTTTTACCTTGAACAGTGCCCCAAATGACAGTTATTGTTTCAACATGCTTCTCTTTACTCCAACCAATTCAGTGCACCTACATCGAGGTGGATCAAGTGGGCCACACCAACGCTGTGGTGGTGAGTAAACCATCCTGGATGTGGGGAGCTGAGATGGGAGCCAACGACAAAGGAGTAGCTATTGGTAATGCCCCAGTGTGGACCAAGTTGAATGGACCTCAGGATCTAGAGAAGAAGTTGCTAGGAGCTGACATTGTGAGGTACAACAACAAAAAAAGAAGCATTTTCAGAAAGCTTATTTAAAGTACATTTTAATGTCTTTTTCAGGTCTGATTTAGTCTGTGAATTCTGAGTTCATTTTCATATTTGAAGCTTTCTTTTTCTTTTCTTCAATTTTCTCAGAATGATGTTGGAAATTTCCTCAGTGAGTTGTCTGATTAAGATTAATTCAAAATACTCTGTTGTTTTGAGTCAGATGAAGTTCTCTGCTTCTAACTACACTATTGAAAGCATTTCAGATTATCTAGAAAGTTAATTGAGTTGCAACATAACAGTGAATGAAATGTTTCACTGCGAGCCAGAAGGACTTGAGCAACGAAATTGACAGGGTCATAATATTTCGAACTTATGAAAAGTTTTCAATGCTTGTTTTAAGGATAGTGCAGGTGGTTGAAGGAGGCCGCTCGTAGTTCATCCTTCTGTACTCTCCTTCTGTTGTTTCTCTCAATCCATCTTGTTTATGCAGAGCAGTAAATGGTCGTTTTTATGTCATTGCATCTCTTTACTGATACCACCACACTGTGCATCTCTTTACTGATACCACCACACTGTGCATCTCTTTACTGATACCACCACACTGTGCATCTCTTTACTGATACCACCACACTGTGCATCTCTTTACTGATACCACCATGAAGGTAGTATGAAAGCGAAAAGGGTATCAGTATGGTTGTGTGAGAATTTTATTTTGGTCTGGATGAATTTGGTCTCCCTTATAATGACTGATGCATTGTTTGTCAGAAGCTCTCATCTCCAGTATCGTACAGTTGTTCAGAGAGAGATGGAACAACTGTTAAGTTTTCAATATAGCTGGTATTCCATTTTGTTAGTTTCAAAAACAAAATATGAAGGTGAGACACGCTTTGATAAACAATTTTTCGCTTAGCCTTTGTAATAATATCATTGAACACAATAGGCTATTAACTGAAACTTTTACTAGATTTCGAAATCCTTCATATCTTTGGAGAAGTTGTTGTTGTTGTTGTTGTTATCGATCCAGCAACAGCTGAGCTCTTGCCCTTCTGTCCAATGCTATGTAGTGATAAGTGCAGGTTTGCTGCAGTTGCTGTAATGTTCCATAGAGTGTATTGATCTTTGGAGAAGACAATCCCAAACTTTGATCTCATGAGAAAAATGAGTAACTCAAATATTTTTTATTGCCACTGTAAAACAGAATTTCTCATTATGGTTTGTTGTGATTCATATTTTGGGACCAACTAGAATAAGTCTTCATGTGAAAAAGCTCAGGATGGTTTTGAAAATGTGATCTCCCACAGATTTTGAGACAATCCGTACACTCCTTCTAAATCTGAAATTTTCACAATGTTTTTCTCTGGCATTCCTCTACAGAGGGTGTTTTGAGGGCAGCACTGGTAGGTCCTGCTTCTGTGCTTTCTTGTCTTTTGTTTCTGTGTTGCTTTTTCCCAGTGCTGAATGACTTTCCTTGTTTCGGTGTGCTTTTCTTTACTCATACTCAAACGAACTCCTCTCCTCCCCCTCCCCCAGGTTAAGTTTGGAGCGTTCATCCAGCGCCCGTGAGGCTGTGGATGTGATAGCGGGTTTACTGTCTACATACGGACAAGGAGGGCCATGCACAGATGAGCCTGGGGAGGACGGCTGGTCCTTTCACAACAGTTATCTCCTGGCTGACAGTTCCGAGGCCTGGATCATGGAGACTGTGGGCAGCCTGTGGGCGGCTGAGAGGATCACTGGTATGTGGTTTTCACTTCATCGTCATCATCAAACACGTCAGCCCCATGGCCTTATTGCTTCAGTGAGGCTCCATGTTCATTTTCCTCTTACTGCCAATATTTGCGCTATTTTATGCACTATTTCTAGATTTAACTTGTCGAAGATCCTGTGTATGAACTAGAACAAAAAGCAGCCTTGATCTTGAATGAGTTTGATTTGAAATAGCTTCCTTTTCTTCCTAAAAAGTTAACGCTAAGTCCAAACTCTATTATTCTTTTTCTTCCGATTTTTTACTAGATCGTTTTGAAATATGATAATGTACAACTGAAGCTTTGTCCGAACGTTGCATCCCAAATTCTCTAAACTAAGTTTTCTTTCATTTTCTTCTTTCATATAATCCCTTTTTTTTTCAGCCTGTCTGCCTTAGATTACTGGTACATGTCCTTCAGACGGCATTGATTAAAAAAAAGAGAATAAACTCAGTGTGGAAAAGAATGTAACATGTCAGAGATTATGACCCAATGAATCGCATTTTGGTTTTCTACTGTTGGTATAATGGACTGAAAGAAACAATTTCTAAATTCTTAGTCTTTTATTCTGTATTTTATAGTACTGTCTGTTCTTTGTGTGATAAAAGAGAATGCTTGAGACATAATCACCTATGGCAAAAAATATACGCTTTTGTTTTTGGCTACTTATGTCATTAAATGGGGTCTCAGCAGTCTTACTTTGAGAATTCAAAGACTGTCATTGTCTCATCCATTCGGACAGATTGCTCTTTGCAAATGACTTGAAAACAAAAAGGAAGTAAAGAATATTCTTTTCATAGATTTCTATGTTGTAGATCTTACAGTGAGAGAAAGACAGGGGGAGAGATGAATGGAGAGAGAGAGAGAGAAAGTGGGAGGGGGTATGGGGGTGGGGGATTGATTTTGTGGCCCTGCATCTTTGTGTTTGTATTGTAGGGTGTTTATGTGTTCTTGTTGGTATGGAGAAATCTACCTTATTTGGTGTTATCTTGACTATTAACCTGTACACTAGAAGTTTTTTAAGAGAGTTATCATGCTTCTCTTCCAAATTGGTTTAGTACTTTTAAAGATGAACATTGAAGTGGAGGTTTCTCCTCTTCAGTTTCCTTACAATATGAGTGGTTGGCAGACCATCTAGTGAGGTTTTCTCCTTCTTTCCTATCAAACAAATATATGGTCCTTATCTCTCCTTCATTTTTGTGTTTGTTACTCTCTTGTAACACCTCTAATCTTCTACACTTATAAATATGACCTAATTGTGATGCAAATGCAGTAAGACATTTGCTAAAACCAAAAGAGTATCCTTACCCTATTGAAAAGAGTATGAAATGCGTGCCATATGGTATAATACTGGCTGGAGAAGCTAGCATGTGTTGAAAATGCAGTGTTTGTGTCTTGACAGATGGTGTGAGAAATGTATCAAATGAGCTCAGCATCACCACAAAATTGGATCTGTCCTCCCCTGGTTTAGTCGACGAGGCAGTCAAACTTGGCCTGTACTCACCAGACAAGGGACCATTTGACTTCAAGGCTGCCTTTTGTGCCCAGCGTGTCTCTCAGACAGGCTCAGTGCACAGCACCAGTTTCCGCCTTCGTCACGGGAAAGAGTTGATGGACAAAGTGGTCACCAAAGGTAAGGGCCTATTTGTTTTCCCTTCCCCTTTCTATCATTCACCTGTCAGATCTAGACCATTAGTGTTAGGGGGTTCTTGTGGTCTAGAGGTACGGTGTTTGCCTCTCATTGAATACCTTAAATAGGTCCCGGGTTCGAAACCTGACAGCGATGGAAAATTTTCTTCTTAAAAAAAGGATCTCCTTTCACCTCCTTTCCTGCTCTCTAACCATGTTCCATCATCTGCTTTTGTCTCTACTCTCTACCCTCCCCCTTGCCCCCTCCTTTAGGCTCCTGACACTCTCTGCTACCTTTTTACTGCTACTCCTTGGTTCCTTCTTACTGCTGTCTTTCGGCCATACCACTGATCTTTTGGTAGGTAAAATCTAACACTGCCTTCTCAGATAAGGGTGAAAATATCTCGCAGGTCCCATGTGCAAGTTGTGCATGGTAAAGATCACTAAGTGATCCTAAAATCAATAAAAGTAGGCTTCAGCCGCCACCCAGGCAAAATTCAAAAATATTTCCTACCAAAACTGAAAATGCCCGCTCATTTGACCTAATGCAGTTGAGAGCTCAGTAAAACTCCCAAACAAAAACAGACAAAAAACCAATAGTGTTATAATTGATAGGAGGTCCAGTGACTGAATGGTCCAATAAACCATCCGACAAAAATGTCCAGCAGCACCTGCCGTAGGGTGTAAGATAATGATGATGTGTTCTCGAGCAAGAGACATTGGACCTAGCTCAGTAGGGTGCTGTGCTGTGCTGTTGTGATCAGTAATGATGAGTTTGTGCTTAAAATTTTTGATAGAGGGAACTCATGAGTGCGGTGTTTCATTTTAAAAGTTAGCAATCTAAATGACCTTTTTTGTATTGATGTGCTTCTCTTTATTCAACAAATTAATAATTATAAGTAGTTTATTTGCACTCAATGAACCATGTCCTGAGACGTTTTTCATTTTTTCACATTGTCCTACAAGGCAAGTTTGGTTACCGGGACCTGTTAAGCATTCTGCGTGACGAGGACGGAGGTATCTGTATGATGGACGGGGGATTCATCACAGCTGGCAGTCAGGTGTCTGTGCTCCTACCTAACTCCTCACCCTCGCCAAATGTTCACTGGTTCACTGGTGAGTTCTATTTTTATATTCTACTAGTAGAAAGCCTATTCTCTGAATGGAATAATGAACACTTTTATGCCACACACACACGCACGCACACACACACACAGATACTCTGCTTAATAGTGCATCCCTGTCCAAGTGACAGAAAATATTCTTTGTGATTTGCACACCAAAATTTGCTAGAATTGTTGATTAGCCTGATTATTTTCAGACTGCTAGAAACCCATAGACGTTTATGAATAGATGGAAGGGGTTGACCTAAGATATAAACATGAATGTCGATGTAAACAGAATGCAAAAATTCATTTTTTTTATTTAAAAGAAAAAGAACGTATTTGTATGTTTTTTTAATTTAAAAAGAATGTAGACCAGGATAGTGGTAATCTATTTTATGGTAAAATTTCAGAATGATTGATAGTCAAATAAAGTCTGAAGGCATGATTTTTTAAAAGTTACGTTATATTTTTGGCTCAGCACATTTTTGTCCATTTAGAACACATTTCTGTGTGGGTTATACTGAAAATTGGTGACTAAAGGCTACTAAAGGTACAAAAAATGCAAATTTGCCGCATCCAAGGACTCTCAAACTTTGGAAGTCACAAATTTTGGTGGCCATTTTTCCCCTTGTCTTACCACTCTAGGCGACCCCCACCTCCTTTAATCACAGATATTTTCTCTTGGCTTCTTATCAAGATAGATGCCTATTTTTTCATCAAAAAACAAGATAAATGAACAAGCTTCAATGTTATAGACTACTAATAACTCGATATGCCCCAAATCTGACACGCGCCTGATTCCCCTGCAACGTGACACATCTCTGTTTGAATAAGCTGGCAAGAAAGGGTGGTATAAGTCTTGTCTCAGAAGGAATTCAAAAGTATTATCTCTCTATTGTCTTGATTTTGTTCCATAGATGCCTCAATGTTGTGTTGATATCTTGCCTGGCTGTTGTAGTGTTGATGTCTCTAGTTTAAATTGCCTCCAGAACATTTTTGAACTTTATTTGTGAAGGTTTGATGTTTGAAGACTCTTCCTCTAACTGGCTTAGTTTTATTTTCCATGGACATTGAATTCAGTGATCTCTTCACTTACTTACAGTAACTTTTCAGCCTTGAAAGATGTGTTAAACCCTATTCATATACTTATATATCTGTATATCATAATGGTTATCCAAAAAATTGTCTATTACATTACAGTTTATTTCTTTAGACAAGATTCTGTCTTTTGTAAGTATATCATAATTACACCAATTGTTTCATCATTTTACTGGGTTTTTGTCTTAACATGGTACCTATCTTTCCTATGAAGGTCCTAGATCAATTGAAAGAGACAGCCATGTTGACAGAACAAATGATTAAGAAGTATCCCTCCAACCACTTAGTGTTAAGAAAAGATAAACCTCAGCCTAAGAGGGTTGTGCTGTATCTTGATTGGTGGAGATGTGCATTCAAGTCTGTGTTTCATCCTTTTCCTTATCTAGTGGTGCAAGTTTTCCAAAACTCAAGCAGATATTCCATTAACTCCTTTTTCTTCAGGTACCCCAAACCCAGCCACCTCCATCTACAAGCCTTTTTTCTTTGGCCCTGGAGCAGAAGTGGGCACAGTGACAGTGTCTCCCCCAGTTGAGGCGGGGGCGGACCAGAGCGAGACAGGTCACGCCCTCTACCGGGGCCACAAGCGTCTGTGTATGTTGATGGACAGCCAGGAAGAGAAAGGACACAGTGTGCTGAAACAGCTTAGAGAGCTGGAAAACAAATGCTGTGAGGATGTGGATGAAATTGTCGCCAGCTACAGGTGAGGTCAAAGCTCAGAAGATTTTATGCCCTACTTTACATGAGTAGGCAGGTAAAAAACAAGGGGAAACTGCAGAAAACTCAATGTGACCAATACATTAATAAATATGTTTGGAAGCTTCAAGCACATAGTGAAGTAATTGAAAATCACTGCGCAAATGTTTATGTCTCATACTTTTATGTACAGTCGAACCTGTGTGAGAGGGAATCGCAAGGGAGCCAGAAAAAAATTGCGTCTGAGACAGGGGAATTTAGGTGGAGATGGAGGTTGGGGGGGGAGAGGTTCAAAGGCCCAGCCGGTGGGATCAAGGATCGCTGGTCCGATCAGCAGGCAGTGGTCAAAACTTCACACCTCTCAATTGCTATCCTGTCTGATAATGACATGCGTCAGTCTTACTTATCCAATTACCACCAGTGCTTGCCTTTCATAGGACTACTGTTTGACCTATTAAAAACAGAAACGTTTAAACATCTCCTTTGCTTCCACCCTTAGCCCCACCCACCAATGCCACCCTTTACTGCCATCATTGTAACAACGATTCAAGGGACTCTTTTCTCGGCTGGCCGTACGATCAGGGCGGCAGGCATGTCAATCTAATTTCACACCTTTAGCTTCTGGACCCAGGAAAGTTTCCGTAGTGGCTCGCTACTCAAGCACTCTCACGGGCATTCGGGAGATTTCACACCCACACTACACTGACCATCTGCATCGCTCAGGGCTCACATGATGGGGTAACATCTACCCCCAAATTGTACCCCTACTGCTCTTCCTCGGCCAGCCGCATGACCATAGCGTTAGTTTAGAGCAAACGGAACCAAACTTGCGAATTTTGTTTCAAATCAGGGCTTAGCGGGCAAAGCTTTTTCCGTCTTAGACAGGTGAAATCCTCGGAAGGGAGTGGATTTTTCTTTCCGTTTCCGCATTGGACAGGTTTCCGTTTAATACAGGTAATTAAAGAAGAATAAATCAAGGAGGGAGCGGGAAGATTCCGTTGAGACAGGTTTCCGTTTTATACAGGTTTCCGTTAAGGCAGGTTCGACTGTACATATCATTTGTCTGTATGCAGGTGTACACTCCTGATCAAGAGATCCCTTGTTATTTTGTCTGGAGCAGAGAAAGGAGAAAGATAACTGGTTGTGTTTATGGTATTATTGGTATTATGCTTATTGAAAGAAGGGACAGAGGGGTCAACAGATAGAATAATTGATAGGAAATTGAGAGGATTTGTTGGTTGAGAGACATGCGAAGCAGAATTTGGTTGGGTTGTTTTGTTGTTTGGTTGTTGTTTTTTTTGTTTTTTTGGGGGGGTATGAATAAAGCTGCCATTAACTCAAAATTTCTATTTAATTTTGTAGACTCAAGTCTGTGTTTCATCCTATTTCCTTTCTAGTGAGGCAAGTTTCCCCAAACTGAAGCAGATTTTCCAGCACATGGCTAGTATGGAGCTCAACTTTTACGTGTGATCTGTCATCATCCAGTTCCAACCCTACCAAGTTATCCAGCCTGCCAGAGCTATGCTGCGCTTGTATCAGGTGATTTTAGGCCAGGACGACCATCATTCTGCAGATTTCATTTCGCTCTCACTATGTCTTTAGAGAAGAAACTGTCATAAGTGTTCTCTGTATGGTGTTTATGGCGGAAAAGACCATGTTTCAAGGTGCTTTGCTTGACTGCAAACTTATCTCTGAAACCCCAGGGGATTACTTATTTGATGTTATTCTATCAGAACAATATAATATAACTTGTCACAGTAAAACAATATTTGAATTTGGCTTTCGGATTCTTCTCAGAAGCATTCTTTTATGTAAACACAAAAAAAAACCTGAATGTTACATACATTATTGTTCACCAAGAATACCAGCATTACATACCGTTCTATTATAACAAATGCTGGTGTAGGGCTTTCAGCTTGGAAAACCTTTCTATGTATATGTCTCCACTGTAGGTCTTTTTTGCTGTTGCATAGATGAAGTTATATATTTAGAAATGACTTTGAATTTGTATGTGGATCATTTGAGAAAATATTTTGTTTATATTCTTACGTACTAAGCATTCTGTAACTGAAACATGGGTTTCGACTGCTTGGCAGATGTGCTTCTATTTATGCTATACCTGTTACATAAGAACTCGAGCTGATGATCATGAATAACCTCAGACATGTGAAGTATTTTTAGTTGAGTTCAACGTAGATTGCAACATTTTTCCCTGTGAGAGGATCATCAGAACATTAGAAAATATGCCAACATGTTTTTGTTTCTTTTCAAAGGTGTAAGTTCAGGTTTCTTATTTAATTAGACTTCACAGTGCATCAATTATTGAACAAAGTTATGTTGAAAATTCAAGAATAATGAATAGTAGAGGAAGGAAGAGCAACAGTATGTGTTTCTTCATAATTGACATTTTGTTTTGTTGGGAGATTGATATTTACATTCACAAAACTTGTAATGTGTTCAAACTTCCTGTGTCAGATCATGTAACCTATGTTGCATTCTTCTAACTTAAAAAAAAAATGAATAACGGAATGATGAATTTCCCTCAGTATTTATATTGTTTCAAAGCCTCGAAGGCCTTTTAATTTGCCTTCTTGAACGCGGTGCCAGGGTTCTGATCAAAATATTATCCACTACACTTTGCTTTTCTGGGTCAAGTGATTGTTCAGCTCCTAATTGAGAGACTTGAGTTTCTTTTATATGTTCTTTTTGTAAGTTTTGCTTTCCTTGGGGTTGGGAGGGGGGGGGGGGGTGCTTTTATGAGTGATTTTAATATTCTTGTCAGTACTAAAACTAAAAGAAAGAGAATGTTGGTGGAATTATTTCAATGTCCAATGGCACATGTTGTGATAACAGGGCTAGGCAAAAATTGATGTACAAAATGCTTTAGATCGCAGGGGCTTGTGCCATATGGAATCATGATTATGTTTGTAATATGTGAGTTTGTGCAGTACATCTTTTTTATGAACAAAGAAAACAAATTTTTTATATTGTTTACCCACATTTATCTTATGTTGAAGGCCCAAAAAATGTGCAATACACTTTAACTGTCCAACATATATATTCAGTTATACATACCAGAAATATTTAAGAAAGTGCAATATATGACATTGAAACAATCAGTGAAAGTTTTTGTATTTTTTACATACACATATCCAGAAGTGTGCAATATGAATTGTTTATACCATTGGTTAAAGTCTCTTTACGATTTTTCACACAATGTTTTACTGAAGTTAAGATTTAATACTGGTACCTACCACTAACTTTTGTAAAGGCCAAAGGGGAGTCTGGCGGAGAGAGAGAGACTGGAAGTGGGTAAAAAGGGGAGAGAGATAAAGAGAGAGAGAGAGGGGGGGGGGGGGGGGGAGAGAGAAGTGAAAGTTTTGTTTCAAAGAAATACTCACATAATAGGCCTATATATACTTAAACAAAGCTCTTATTTTCTGTGTTCTTATCCTATGCTATGTCCGTAGTAAAATGAGTTTGTGAAAAAGAAATCTGTGAGGTAGTATACTATTACTGTTGGCTTGTCAGTATTTTTTTGTGAATTCTTGACTGAAACTGATGGAGAATGGATTCAAGTGAAAAACATCTCCTTTTCAATTTGTCTCTTTAGGTAAACCCATTTCCCAGTGCACAAATAAATGCTGCGAGTAAAAACAAAATTCTACCAAGCTTACTATCCTCTCTACTTTCTTGGAGCCAGTGACCATGGTAAAATTCACTAAGGCTCTCTGTTTTCATCATATCTTTAGTCTTCAATTGTCCTGATAGTTGCACTGACTTGTTGCAGAGTTCTCTACGTCTCATATCTCTCTCACTCTCTTCCCCCCTCCCTATCTTTCTCAATAATCTGTGCTATAAACAGGCTTGTACACTTATAATTGTTACAAATATAAAGTATAAAATTTCGTAGAGATCTCAGTACATTGTCAACAAGCAGTTTAAATTATGTCCCAAGCCCAGAAAGCTAAATTTTTCAAGAGAGAAAAATTGTTGCAAATATTTTACAATGTGTCTCTACGTTGTATCTTTTACTTTTTTTCAACATTTAGAATTTCTATACATATATATATATATATATATATATATATATATATATATATATATATATATATGCATCCAGGGTTCTCAGAATGTAATGGGGACATTTTGTACTGGTTGAAACTGGTTTTCAGCTACACCTAAATGTAAATGACAAATGGGGGTCAATTAAGCAGATACAACACAAGCAAACTCTTTTGTGTAAAATTTAAGAATTGTTTATATATATAGCTAGGCCTATGCCTTTAATTTTTTTTTTTTCCGCTGTCACTTTTCATGCCACGACTAACATTCCTTGCACAGTCACTGATTTCCCATTAAACGTAGTATTTGTCTGTACTGTGAGCGAAGAACATGTTATCATTGACTGTTGCATTACTCTTCCTTGTTAGTGTATTTTCGTACGTCACTCTTTTTGTTCGACCTCGAAAGTTTTTGTATGTGTTTAAGTAGGCTATTACTTAATCTTTTTGTTCTCCCATTCACAGCCCAATACTTTGTTTTAATCAAAACTTATTTCCATCTTAGACTTTAGTTTTCAACCGTGCAGAACTTTTCACATGGGGTTCTCCTTAAGATGATTGTTAACTCAATTTTATTCCTTTTTTTTTCGGTGCATGTGTCTGCTAAGTATCAAATGGACATGTCTTTGTCACAATTCTATTCTTATTAGAAGAGAGAATTGATTATTGATTATGCAAATTTGTCATGCAAGATGTGAAAGAATCACCAGTTGTCAGAGTAAGGGGTTGCTGAGACCTTTTTATCCTCTCCAGCGCTGGCCCTGTTTGTACACCAACTTAATGATTTCACAAAGTAGCTTTTACTTTTATATTGTCTGTTCAGCATTATTCTATAATTGCCCAAATCAATTTCCTATAGTTTTCAGTTAATAAAAATATATAAAAATTCAAATAAAAACATCAAAGAGCATTTTAGTTACAGTTGAATAACTATAACTTATAACATTAATATACATGTTGCTTCATTCCGTTTCATTATTTTCTTCTTAGTTTTTTAAATTTTATAATTAATGATGAATACCAAAGTCTAAGTTCTGATTTAGGTGCTCTATTTTTCTGAAAATCTAAAAAAAATTGAAGAAATGACTTTGGCATTTGTGGAATATAATATTTGTGTATACATGTTGCATTAAGTTAATGCCAGCATGTGTAAACCATGAGCCTTGAGTGCTACTACTATTACTACTACAGTCCATGCCGGCTTTAAGCACGGTCATCGGGAGAAAGCTTAAGCGTGCTTAAAGCCGAAACATGCTTAAGTGCGAAGTAGACACAATCCAGAGATTTTCATGTAGAAAATTCCCCGTGCTATTTCCCTTGGTTTGTAAGTAGGCCCGTAGCGGTCCCACAAAAGTGTGCTGTGTTATTTTGACACCCGCCATGGTAGTTTTTGTTCCCTTGTTTGTTTGTTTTTTGTGGTCGAATGGGAAATGAAAACTTCATTTAGACGGCCAGTCACGATACAGAACACTAGGCCTACTGTAACACACTGCCTGTGCGTACCACTGCCTGCTGTGCCACTCATACCACCGCCTTCATCCCACCTCGTGCGTGATACACAATCAGGATTAATGGATAGCGAGGGTCAAAGGTGAAATCGCAGCCAGCCTCCCTTTCTCGTCTCCCCTACTCTCTTTGTATTTTTTTTTGGTCGTGTGTAGCTTTGCCCTAGGCCTAGGCTAGATCCTATGTCCGCGCGCATGGCTGTGTACACGTGTACCTCTCTTACTTCCTCTCCGCCCGTGTGAGTGTGTGTGTCCATCACTTGCGTTCTTTGCGTTTCTCTTGACACACTCCACTGCTGCGGTGTAAACTGTGTTCAAACTTCGAAGGGTCATCATGAAAATATTGACTGTCTTGTAAATGAAGCATGCTTGAAGCCGAAGTTACCTGGCTTAAAGGCGTGTAATTTATATAGCAAAAATTCGGTAAGAGCCGTTTAGCGTGCTTGAGTCCGAAACGTGCTCAAGGCCGGCGTGCTTAAAGCTCGCACGGACTGTACTAGCCTGACACTGACATTCACTGGTTCATCATATTCATATCTCCCTCCTTCTGGTGGAGTAGAGTTGGAAATATATAGCTCCTTGTGGCATCCTTTGTGAAGCTGCAAAGAGGATAGACAATGCATTGGACAAGTATAAAAACTGCTGCTTTTTCTCTCCTCATCCTTACTATCGTTTTCTTCTACTTCTTTTGTATGTTTGTCACTCTCTTGTGAACTGCTATTTCCTGGGTGCCTTGACTTGATAGTCGAAGCAGACTTTCTTGTGCTGTTGAAGCTAGAGAAGTGAGCAGAGTAAGCCTGATTCCCCGTTGACATCTACCCCTTGGCACTCATATGACCATATATAGTAGCGAGCGCCATAAAACCTTACTAAAACAAACAAAGCCTTGAGTGTGGTGTTGTTGGCAGATTCACTTCTCACTTTGTCTGTGTCCAGTCTCTTACTATAACATGTCAATATATCCCTTAGTTTCTCCCATCTTTTGGAAGTTTTTTTTTATACTTCACCTTTTGCGGCAAAGTGGCTTAGATATAATATATCTGCTTCAGAATCCAAAAGTTTAAATTACAGGTTCCAGTTTTCCACTTCTGTGACTACTTTTTCAAAGGAATGGCACTCACTTATTTTAAAATTGCTTCATTTTTTATGTACCGGTATGTAGGCCTACTTAATTTTTTAAAATAAATTGTCAAACCTTTTTTCTTCTATCTAAAGATGGTTAGAAGAGGGTACCAATGGGCGGTTCTGCTCCCTTCCCCTGGCCAGTATTAACTGACCAATATATTTTGGATGTCCTTCTCTTTCTCCCAAACCCCAACCCTTCCAACACGTATCATTACTCTTTGACTTTGATTCTTGTCCAAATGTTGGCCATATACATGTACAATGTAATGTTAAAATTAATTCACTGTGGTTTAAGTAGACTACTTCTACTACTAGTACAACACTGGTGTCTAGTAGGGAGTACTTAGAAGCACAGAAAAAGAACTTGTAATCCTTTAACTTTATAACACAGTAGTTTAACTCGTGTAGTAATGATTGTCTGTTCCAACGTATGAGAACAAAGGCAATAAATGTGGGTTGACAACAATTTGCCACCACGTAAGCTCCATACCTTTGTAGAGCTTCCACTTAGCTTCTGCAACTTTTAAAAATATTTCCAGATATAACATATCAGACTCTCATCCTAGTTTTATATTATCGTTAAATGTACTGTTTCATAATTTTGCATTATGGATTTCTAATATTGTTTAATGTGAACCTTTCATTCCAGTGAAATAAAAAAAAATACCAAAACTCTAGCTCCAAGTTTTTCTTTGGTGCCTTGGTGCCTTGGTGATTCACTCTGCATTTTCAAGCCTCTGTGCCGCAAAAATACATCATTATCTATGCTCTACATTTGTTGTATAAAATACATGTTATCTAGCTGCAGAACGCAAAAGATTTCAAGTTTTCTTCCTTTCTGGGAAGAATGAACTTTCATGAAGTTGGCTATAAATATACAGTGGAAACCTGATATAACAAACAGGGATGGTGGGACCAGAGAAAAAGTCCTGTTACATCAAATCTCTGTTAAATCAGAAATGCAAGGGAAGTAAGCATTTGTGGACTAATTCAGCTGTATTTATTCATGGGTAGAACAGGGGTACATCATGTAGGTAGGCTTAGGGCTAGATCGAAGTCTGCAGCACACCGCAGCCCTCTCTCACTTCACCTGCTGCGTGCGTTTGCAGTGACTAGGCTTGCTTCATCACTGTGTTACTCTTTCTCTCTCTCTCTCTCTTACTTTTTACACATCGTTAACGAGCCTTTGTCCCTGCTATAACTGATAGGGCTCCGATGAGGCCTTGTTATTGCCGATAACTTTTAATAGAGACATAGAGTAGGAAAAAATGGGGATTTGATTTTTAAAATCCCTGTTATTACGGGATCCCTGTTTTTACCGGGCCTGTTAATAGTATACACTGTAATCATATTCAGTTCAGTACCTGAAAATTTAAATTTGTTTGCTATGCTTGACTACCACACAAAAAAGAAAAAGAAAAACCACTTCAAGATCAAGAAGATAGGACAATAATGTACCCTTTAATTCATGCTTCTCTTCACTTACATTAAAAAGTTACACATTTAAAAGTGTGGCTCATTTTATCAACAAATGTGAACATGGCATGAAACAAGTGCATTTACTTCTTCCCATCAATAACATACATGACCCATACACCTCATTGACATTGTGATAAATAAGGTGACCTACATACACACCTGGTCAAGATGATACAAGAAAGGGCTGAAATCAACTTCAGCAATAACTGAATCACAGCTCAGACTTTACTAACATCCTGTGAGGGACCTTGCAGGTGGGCATTACACATTACACATTACACATTCCACATTACACATTGCTCGGATTCAACAAAGTTACCGGGCCTGACCAACAATTTTGTTGAAAACAAGTGTTCGTTCGTTATAGCAAACATGAAGTTTTTGTGTAGATAATTACAAGCACCGAGCAAGTAATGTATAATGTATTCGACTTCCTGAATCAAAAGTAGTTTGCTTTCAAATGAGAGGAATTTCCATTTCTTTGAGGCCATACCAAAGAAATGCTGAAAAATTCTAGGAAAATACAGTGGGTGTCGCATTCAACGAGAAGTCGGCTCCAACGAGGCAATCCTTAATCCCCGATTTCTTCCTCAATATCTCTTTGCAAATGTACATCAGCTCCAGTGAGGTTGCAAACAGACTGAAGTTGCTTTCAACGAGGTCGCGATAACAAAATAAAAGCAATTAGCGGCCCCAAAAGCGAAGAATTCTTCTCCTTTCTCTCCATCTCACACGAAGCACAAAAGGCCCATTATCGATTCCCAACACATTGTATTGCTAGATCTAGTGTGCCTCCTAATATGGGCCCCAAAGCCAACAGGATGGACGCTGGATGGGTAGGTCTGATCGAGACCTTCATTTTTTTCAATTTTCTTGACTTCCCCTGATCAGAAAATCCAAGCTCCCGCCTTTACGTTATGTAGATCTAGGCCTAGATGTGAGAAGGTATGTTTCCACACGAGAAATGTTCCAGAAAAAAAATATTTTAAAATGCAGAAATGACTGTCAGAACACAGCTCAATCCCGCGCACACTGATGCTGTTTGAGATTTTCGTCATCAGGGGGAACGACCGTTTTAATTACTGGTACTTGGTACATCGTGTAATAAAAATAACTTGTCTCCTTTCTTTACTTCAGCTTTAGTCACGTTCAACGAGAGATCGGATCCAACGAGGACAACAAGCCGGTCCCGGCAACCTCATTGAATGCGACACCCAGTGTACACCGAACTCTACCAAGCGCACGCTGCGCTAAAACTAAAAAGTCAGATTAGTTCAAATGCACGCCTGTGTCACCTATCATCTATGACATATTGTTTGCCGAACAAGTTGTGTTGCTGTGTATAGCCTAGCATACGGCAACGTTTGATTCCACAGACCAGATTACGTAGATCCATTATCAAGACTAGCTTATCATTGTAATACTGACCAGTAGCCGGGAGAGAAATGACTGAGTACTGTGACATGTTTGTATCTGTACTACTGACTACTGACAGTCGACGCCAGGACCGTTTGTAAACCCTCCACCCAGACATACGCGCACACACACACACAGTCACACATCATACGTGCGCTGGCCGCCAGTCAGACCCCAACAAATGCAAAGACATGTGTGCGTGCCATCAACGAGTGTGTTGGTATAAAAGAAGGCCGCTGATTGGTCTCATAAGATATAAACAATAGGCTAAGCGAATAATGGTTCCCGATGCAGATGCCATGGACAGCTTCCAGAAAAAGATAAAGATCATTGCGGGAGATAAATGAGTGAAACCACATCAGTAGGGGCTGTTCACCAAGAAAGTGATTTCTTTGAATCCGAGCTTGCTCATTTATCTGTTCATTGAAATCAAGTTATTTTTATTGATTTTAATGAATAAAAAAAAACAGGGTATCCATCTCCTTTCGTTGAATCCGATTTCCACAGTAGCAATGGTGTTAGGCACAAATGGGCCAACTCCAACTCCATTAAACAGTTTTAAGACTCTCCAATAGAAAATTATTCCTGGGAGGTGACCTATCAGTGCTGACACCACTTGTGTGCATCCAGTCTACAAAAATGCCTCTTTGAGTCAACAGAAAAGGAGGAGAAAAAGAAAAAGAAATCACATTTAGCCTGGCTGCCATTGCAGTGACGGACAGAAATCTAAACATTTCAATCGGAGTCACTATCTACATTAAAATCGTGAAAGATAGAGGAGACTTGAGAACGTAGCTGTGCCAGTTTGGCCTCCAGATTGGCAGCGGTGACGTTGGACTGAGAGGAAGGACTCGGCACACCAGGGACAGAATACATCAAAGGGCTGGAAGACAGATCGCCCAACTCAGATTTCTTAGCTGATCCTGGTCCAGATGTGGCAGCAGATTTTACGCCAGGTTCAAATCCCCTGTCATTTCCATTCTGCTTTCTCCATGGAGATCTTCCTTGCAGCTGGATGCCCTGTTTGACAGGAGAGAAAGAGTCGCTGTGATTGGGGGCAAAATCAACATCCTCATCCTCCAGATCAACCATGACGGGCGGCTGTGCTGTTTCCAAAGAGTCCTCACTCTCACCAAAGCTCATCCTCACCTGCTCCAGACTTTCACTTACAATTTTATTCACTGCATTTTGTGTCTTATCTCTCACTGGTGTGGCTGCATTTGTGGACTGCCGACTAGCACCGTTATCAAATGTCACAAAATTTGAACTTCTTAAGCTTGTATTGGGAAGGGCACTGGTTTGTAGCAGGCTTCCTGAAAGGCTCCCATAACTTGTGAAGGAAAAATCACCAAGGTCAAGAATATCACTGTCACTCTCCTCTTCTTTATCACTTACGAACGTATCAAACCTTCGATTGTTTGTAGAGCTAGCAGTTGGTGAGGAAGCAGTAGGGACAGTGATGGCATTGGATGAGAACACGGGGGCCGGAGACGTTTCTTCAGCACTGGCTTCCCCATCACCAGGAGGGCGAGCTGGGATTCTGCTCGGAGTCAGGGAGCTACGTTGAGCTGGACCCTCACCCCAGACTTCTGCAAGAGACGGTGACAGCTGGTGAAGCGGGGAATCTGCAGGCGTGGGACTGCTGGAGCTTACTGGAGAGCCTCTGTCCCCAGCTGAGGGCAGCATACTGTCAGGAAACTGGGCTGGACTGACAGCTGTGCCAATAGCTTCATTCCTACCATGCCCATCTAGAGCAAAAGTCAAAGGCGCTGATTGGACAAAAGACTCTCTACTTTGATTCAGTAGCGGAAATTTCGTTGAGAGAATATCATCCGTATTTCCATCTCCTTCAGAATTGTCCAGCTGATCATGAACAGATTCATTATCCTCTGAATGTTCTGCATCACTAACGGGGGAAATAACATTTTCAAGACTTTGTTCAAATGTCCCCCTGTCGGAGGACGCCGCAGCAGCAACTGTGCCAGATCCTGCACCCCAGAGCCCAGCGTTGTGGGGAGTGCTGTCTTCACTACTAAGACCAGCACTGTGGACTGCCCTTGGTGTCTTCACCGCTGGACTGTCACTCTGCCGAGACTGGTTGGTGACTAGGGTCATTCCTCTCGGTGGACCTCCTGAAATTTAAAAAAAAACAACAACGGCTGTTTAAGGACATGAAGAGAAGGTTACGCCGTACTACATTCAATGACAATACAATTAAAAAACTGGACCATAAAACATACCATTTATTAACAAATAATGTGCGAAATGCTACACTGGAAACAAATAGAGAAATTACCTCACCTGGCACCTAAAGAAATGATGAACAATCTATGAACCAATCATGGCTTGATTTGTCACAATGTCCTCGTTCGTAACAAGTAAGATGTGAAGGAGAAAAACAATCAATTTTATCCTTCTTAGAGCTCTCCAAGATCAATACAAAACCTAGAAGTTATGACATAATAAAAGAGCCATGAGAAGATTGAGAACAGCAGGATACTTGACTGACCCGATGTGGAAGCTGAGCTATGGGGGGTGACACGGAGAGGACTGCGTGTTAGAAGATCACGAGAAACAAAGGCAGCACCATCTGGAATAAATTACAGTTAACGGTTAACTTCATTTTAAAATGAATGTACGCCACTGTTTGTACATCACTGACATGCATAACAAACATTATCAGGGCATAAAATACCTATACAATGCTCCTTCCATAGGGTGTGGTCTGAAACAACTCTTTTCTTCTCTTTGAAAGACTTAAAAGCTTACAAACTATGACGGTACCTGTACAGACTTCTGAATTTTTTTAGCCTTCAAAATTAGCAAAGCTTGCAACAACCAACCTCAATAATATTTTAATTTATTATCCTGCGAAGAAACACACTGAACATAATGAAGAGCTATTAACAAAATGAACATTTCAGTTTGATTGCTTAGGTTCAAGCATGTTTTGAAAGTAAAGCCTTGAAAGTTGTAAAAACACTTGAAGTGAAGGGCATAATCAAACAGTTTATACCTTTCATCATACACAAAAGAATCTATTGGCATAAACAAATAAAATGAAAGGCATAAGAAAAACAGTCTATAAATATAAACAAAATAAATTATTGGTATATATGCAAACTTACAGTATAAGCACAAACGAAAACTATAAATACACGCTAAACAATTAGAACAGCAATCAAATAAATTATTAGAATTAGAACTTAGTACAAGCAAAACAACCTATCAAAATATAAAAATAAAATACCTGTATAAGCATAGTCTAGTTCACTAGAATAAAATATAGATATAAACAGAACAATCTGGTATAATAAAAAATTTAACTACAAGTAGGGTATTACAAAAAAATCTACAGTCAAACCTGTGTAAGACGGCCATCCATTGTCAAGGAGAAAAGTGACCGTATAAGACAGGTGGCCATCTTAGGCAGGACTGATCAAGATGAAGAAAACAAACCATTCCCATCTGAGGTCCCAATCGAAAGTAGCCGCATTGTTGTTGGTGGTGGTGGTGGTGTTGGTGGTGGTGGTTTGTATTTTGTTTGTAATTTTTATTTGTTGCTGATTTTGCACAAGGGTGACAATAAAACGAAATGTATCAGACTAGGAAGACCGAGTGCCATGTTAAAACAAACACATGTGTCGCCACCACTTGGAGAACGAGCGTTCATGTTGACGTCCTTTGTTACTTTGTTACAGACTGGGTAAACAGTGACCACTCATCTCACTTACGATTAGTGTAAGAGTTCTGGGCGGGGCTTATGGGTTATGAGGGATCACATGCTTATCTCACCAGCAGCTGAAAATTGGTACCTATTGGTCAACAGTGGGAGGGGCCTCCGCAACATGATCGGTTGGAGGGACTACCTAACAACAACGACAGGTGATTGAATTATGACGGCTCGCCCACAACGCTAGGGGCCAATGCACAATTTATGACAAAACGTAATGGAGTCACTAAGGTGTCTTTCTAATCAGGTATTATTGCTTAGTGTGATAGGGGTTGTGTACTAAAATATGGTGGCAGGGTTCCTGCCATGAACTTCCCATCAAATTCAAGGAGGTTTCAAGGAGGTTTCAAGGAGAAATTTTTAAAATTCAAGGAGATTTGGTCAAAAAATTCATGACGAAAGCCTATTTACTATTTCCGAAGGCCTACACTTGTCCGAAAGGAACCATATCATAGTTTCGATTTTCCTACAAAAACTGTTCCATGGGTGACTGCCAACCCGGCTTCTCAATTTTCCAGGCGGTTGGGGGGTGGGGGGGGGGGCCTCATCCATTCTCCAGGGGCATGTTACATAACAATGACAGTGCAAGCTCCATTTATATATATATATATTATATATAATATACACACACACACGTGGCACGCACCCATGTAGGTACATTATATCCAGTCAACAACATGTCAGTGTGGCACTGGGATACTGTGTGACAGGTATTTCAGTCTGTTCTTACTTACTTATATTTTCCCCTCATCATATTCACCTATATTAACTATATAAAAATGAATCTTGCATTGAGCCAGAGAAAAGGTCTAGAACCAGAATATCCACTGTCAAGAACCAGTTTAGGTGTCAAAGTTTATATAATAAACGTGAAAGACAAATATTATTGCTCTAACTCAAAGTAGAGCAATAACATGAATGGCTCAGTGTGAGAGGTGTAAGAACTGAGGGGGCGGCAAGATGCAGTGACACTGAAAATCTGCAAATCTTGAACAGAAAGCTAAAATAATATAGAATACACAATCAATGAAACGGGAACCCTTTAGTTACAAAAACACGGCTTACAAGGTTTGAGTATGACAGATCCCGATTCCACACAAGGCCTGCACCAATGCGCGCTGTGCAGAGAGCTCTAGATAGTAGTAATCAAAATTCTGAAAAGTAAAATCTGCTTCCAAGTTCAGTTTTTGCCATCCGGTGTTGCCTTCAACCTCAGCCCCCCCCCCCCCCCCCTTCCCCCGCGTGTGTCTTAAAAAAAAAAAAAGAATAATCCCCCCATTTCCGAGTCCTATTCTTCCCAGCGCTCAGACTAAGCACGAACTTTGGTGACCTCAACCATCGCCGATACTCACGATGTGACAAAAACGCACAGGTTCAATGACCGGTCACGACGGCGAGCCCGACAAAAAGCTTTCTTTTTCTTTCTGTTTTTTTCACAAGTGACAGCACAGGACAAACGAATTGTTTTCATGGCGGCAAAGCGTTTGTAAAACAGAACCTGCATGTTACAAATGTGGCGCTATCAGACTACTTTAGGCCCTACCGGCAAATTTCTTGGTGGTAACGAAAGCGAAAGCAGATCTTGATTTTCCAGATTGAGCTTCGGTATCGCAAATACACTTCCACTTGTTGCCGCCATAACCGCCTGTGCGCGAGTAACGTACTCTCGGGCTGGGAACGGCCGAATGAATTACATCACAACCAAGGACGTTATCGGATTTGGTTTTCAAATATTCGAGAACGTTTATGTATTTTCCCGGGTCTTTCACGGGGCATTTTACAGATTTCTTAAAATTCCCGTTGCATTCCGCGTCTCGGCGATTTTTTTCAAATTGTTGGGTAATTCCAGGGGCCCCCGGGATTCCCGGGGCCTGGCAGTCACCCTGTACATGTGTTCCTGTCCGATCTGGCAAAATTCAAGCAGTTTTCAAGGAGATTTTTCCTAGAACGCAAATTCAAGGAGTTTTCAAGGAGATTTTTTCTTGAAAGCAAATTCAAGCAGTTTTCAAGGACTCCTTGAATTCAAGGAGGCCGCGGGAACCCGGCTGCGTTGGACAGGTGCCCGTTTTACACAGTTAAATTATATAGAAAAAATGCAAGGGGGGAAATGGAAAGTGGCCGTTTGTGCAGGTGGCTGTCTTATAGAGGTGGCCGTCAGGGCAGGTTTGACTGTACTAGCAATAACAAACTAAAAACTATCAATAAACTTAAAGCAATACTAAAAGACAAGAAAATAATCAAAATAGATAACCAATATTTCTAACAGCACAAACAAATCTATCAGCAGAAAGAAAACAAGCCTCAACTCACCTAACTGTCCAGGAGAGAACGATTCCTCTTCCTTGTGAGACAGGAGAGGGCTCAGCAGGTCTCCCAAACGGTCTGGACTTGCATCTCCCTCATCCAAGCCTAAGACATCAGCCACAATCTGAACAACCAGAAAAAGAAAAGATTGGGTTGCACTAAAATAAGGCCCATCTAGACAGAAACATGTCATTTGAAAGGCAGAGCTGGGTGGAGGAAAGAAATTGACAAACAGAAATACAAAAGTGAAAGAGCCACTGTCACTGCCAAATATTAGTGCTCCATAACCAGGGCTATGAGGATGATGAAGACATTCACTGTTATGCTGGAAGTGATCATGGTCAAAATGAACCAAGAACCTTTTGTCAAGTGTCTTTATGCCGCCTCATTTTTTTTCTTTCTTTAGACCAGCAAACTCACTAAAGACTGAAAATAGGAAAAACTTCCCAATATGGCAGAATAAACAGAGTCAACTCAGGGTGGCTTTTTTTCCCAAGTTGGATCATTTGTTTTCAAAGAATGTTGTAGAACTTGTATAATATTGCATAAAACACAAAGTTCAGCAGGCTATGATATACACCAATCAAGAGGACACTTAAAGCCCTTTCCAGCCACGTATAACATGCTTGGTCAAAATGAATGTTTCTCACTTAGATTTTGTTAAAAGAAGTCAACTTCTGCTATAACAGGTACTTGAGAATTTGCCTTGTAAATAACATGTGTCACAATGCAGTAGAATCGGGTGCTCGTCAATGTTTGGGCAGGTGGAGTTATTGGTATCATCTTTAAGTCTGTCCATTTGCCTTACTTTTGATGGAAAAAAATATCCATATATCTTGGATACAAGTCAAGATATTGGTGATTGAAGGAGCTGGGGGTCGGCTGCTACCAGAGTCAACTCAGGGTGAGAAAATGGCCGCCAAAGTTGAGAGTCTATGGAAACTAAAAATTTATATCTTTTATGCCTTTAATCAATTTTTTTCAGTATAATCCACACAAAAAGGCATGAAAGGTGTTGAGTCAAAAAACCAAAATTCGATAAAAATTCCCACACCTGCGGAAAAATGCCAGTTTCTTGACTCATTATTTTGACGAGCACCTGATTTCACCACGCTGCTTCACATACATTTAATCATTCATCTTGTACAGAACCAATAAGTATCACAAGTCAAATTTCAACATTCCTGAAGAAGATCTGAACTACTTACAGAATCTGCTAGGGCATTCATTGCTTTTTCGCTGGCAGTGGAACTTTTTGGCTTGGATTCAGCAGACTGGGCATTCATCTTGCTTTTCTTTACAATCTGCTTAGAACAAAATCAAAATCACAGTATAAAACATCTCAAATCGAGTGTAAAAAATTTAGCGCTTGTGGGGGTTAGAAACACAAAAGAAATATTAAGCAGAATTTATTTATACTATTGCGGATATTATGTTCTAAAAGGACACTAAGAATATTCAATCTTGACACATTAGAATGATGAAGCACATATCACTAGAGCACCAATCCTTATTGTGGCACTCTTTATCTTGCATGAGGCTTAGTCTTTAACATATACACAAAACAATCTACATTAGGTACACTTTAGTCACACCATACAACTGAGTTTTACTACACTACAGATCAGCATATCAGTCACATTTTCCTATGAATAGTTTAGAACAAAGAATTCACTGAACAATCATAGGAGAACACTGTATCAAAGAATCCATCAACCACCTGTGGACTTTGGACCTGAGCAATAAAATGCTCTTATAAAAACATTAAATCTTTGATTACGGATTGTTACCAGAGTGGCGTTTTTTGCTCTGCGTTTCAGCAGCTCCCAACTAAACTGGCGTTTTGGGGGTACAAAGTTTGTCAACCTAAAGATCTGCACCTTGTCCTGTGCTACAGTTACTACGTATTTCCCCCATATTATGATTTTTCTGTACAATTACAAATAGGTTGCAAATCCATCAATGTCTAACCGAACTATAACCGTTTTAACGTAACAACCTTTCTGCCTGAGACCCTAATATTGTGGACTCCCTTGCATGTTGAAAGGAATTCATAGACAATTGAACAGGAACAATCACTAGTGTGACAGTGAGTCAAAAACAGCCTACCCCAGCTTGAGAAGAGGAAGCAGACTCGGCTTTCCTGTGGCTGTCTTTCCCCCGAGTCTCCAATGTTTCCCTCAGCACTGACCCGGGCGTGTTGTGGCTGGTGGGTCTCACTGTGCCAGCTCCAGGGTGGCCTGCCTGGAGTTTACCTGGCACGCCTCGAGCCTGCTTCACTTTGTTCTTTTTGCTGGAAGGAAAACAAAAGCAAAATAATACACAGTTGCTGTTGTTGTAGTTGGTGATAGTAGTTTTGTCTTTGCTGTGTTTTTGTTGAGTGCTAATTTGAGGGCAAGTTCTCCCTTCAAGGATGGTCACATTCCACCGAGAACAGGTTTACTTTTCCCTTCCAAATGGCTACATTTATGAGATATTGACATCTCATATCTCCCGAGCATACATTACTAAGAATTAGAATATAGAGAGGGAAACAAAACATTTACATTTAAAGAAAATACAGTAATAAGACAAAAGTACCAAGCTTGTAAACTGGGATGACTCCATTTCAGATGAACAGGTTTTGTTGACAACATAAGAAAGTAGATTGTCCAAAACACAGATAAGGACAAACAACAACAAAGCAGTGTTCAAATAAAGAACAAAGGCATTACTGAGGGTTGAGTAATACTGCAGTGAACAGACTCAAGCCTACAATATAACAACACACAGTAACAATAGCCACACTTTACTAGAACACATATTGGACAGGTCAATCTTCTTACCTCGAAGCATGAGAACCAGATGAAGACTTTCTAGGCACCAGTCCACCAAAATCCACAGACTTCTGTGGCCTTGTCACTTTCCTGGCCTGCTGGACCTGAGCCTCCAACTGACTGGCAAGACGTGATGGGCCATCAGGACTCTCTGGATACACATTTCTTTGTTAGGTTCATGTTACAGAAAAGTTTATATATCAGCTGGATATAGGCCATTTGTATATATACTGCACAGGAGAAGTGAGACAGATGGGGAAAAAAATCAAGGAAGGAAAAGAAGTAGGACCGAAACATACAAGCGACACCTCCAAATCAACCGTCTCTCCATTCAGTTTTGACAACTATCGAGTTAAGACCAGCACTCCGCAAAGCTGAAATTCACAGGGTCTGTAACTTTTCAACTCATCACTGTCACTTTAAAAAAGTTGCTTGCCTTCAAACTTTTTTGACTATTGCCCGTTAAGACTAACTTGACTTTTCAGTAAAGTCATGGGGGAAAACAAGGATGTCATCAAATTCAAATCATCAAAAATAAGGGGGTACTCCTGACACAAGAACCAAAAAGATGAGAAATACAATAATAAGATCTGATAACAGGTGTTCAGTCAAAAGGCAAGTCAATGCCCATCCCAAAATTCAAGAGAAACATGTTCCATGAAGAAAATAATAAACTGACATTTTACGCTAAGGGTTCCAAAAACACATTATTTCACAGTCCAATTATTATAAAGCCATAAAGTATGACCAGAAAAAAAAAAAAAGAGTGCACACACAAGAAAGACAATGGTCTCACTATAGACATGTATTCGTACTATATACACAACTCCCTGAACATGAGGACCTTTCATAAATAGCAATATATTCTTCATCTAGTTTTTAAATGTTATATATATCATTAAAACTGTGCGGAAACTTGCAACCCAATCAGCAGAACTATGAGACTAACTTCTGGATCCTGTGCTGCTATTTGAAAAGCAATAATTCTGAAAGAACTGTCAAAGATAATTCTTTCCAAACTCATCCAGTAGAACAAAACATAATGGAAGAGTAAAGAGTAAAGGCTGCCAGTGGCAACCTTTAACCAGCTTTTAAGCCTGTACCATAATGGATAATAATAATAATAATAATAATAATAATAATAACAATAATAATACCTTGTCCGTCAATGTCTGACAATGACCAATACATCCACAGAGAAGAATATTTCTCCAGCAAAACAGAAAAATTAGAAGAATTAAAGGTTAAGATTATTTGCAGCTTCTGCTGTGGCCGAAGAGAACAATTCTGGAAGAGAAAAGTTTGCCACATTTTGAACATTTTTGTTCAAAGCTTCACTTCCACCTGTGGATGTGCACAGCTTGCGGGCTTCTCTCTTAGATTCACGATTTCTTATTTGTGAAGCCTCAGATGATTAATGGACACTGCAACAGCATTTACCTGAGGCACTGTCCAACAAGTGTGATAATCTCGTCGGCATGGCCCCTTCCAGGCCCTCTCTCACCGCAGTTCCACGGGGCGTGCTGTCAGCGCCAGAAGGGAAGTTCATAGGCACCGCACCATCCGGTGTATTGGACGTCAGACCCAAGTTCAGAGGCTAGGAAATAAACATGCCACGTGAGAAGAACCAAAAAGGTTTATTTTCTGTAGCAAGTCTCAGCAGCATATCATAAGTATTTCATAAGTACATGTCTCCAGCTCTTGCTCAAATATTGACCACACTTAAAAAACATTTACTTGTAGACATACTTTTCCCAATTGCTCCTGTTAACATACTGTACACTCTCATTTCAAATGAAGAAAAGAAATGAAGAAAACCATGTCTTCGCAGCCGAGCGATTAGTGAGTTCTGACACACAATTAATGTCAAGCAAGAGTCAGTGACACAGGGCGGTCACTAGGGCGTGACTTTGAGCAAGACACTATAACCCAAGCTAAAAAAACAGGGCGCTGCACTGTGGTGGCCAGCAATGGCATGTTTGCAGTACATCTCTGTTTCATTATGTGTGTATCTAAATATTTGTGTGCTTACATATCATATTTATGTAGCCTATGTATAATATGTTAAGCCTTGTAACCCAAATTTCCAAGTGGGAATCGGTAACAGTGGAGTTGTTGTTTTTATGTATTCACTTATTTATTTATTATAGAAGTCACTGATACAAATATTTTCAATAATTTAAGAAACACTCCTCCAATAATCCAATAATAACAAGCAATTTTTCCAGACTAAGCAATACTATACACTACTTTCAAAATGTAATGTAAACCTTGCGTAGAATGTACAAAGTGCTTCCTAGAAGGTCCTACTGGATGGGGCAAACCAGGAAAAGATAACGTAATTAACAAAAACACAAAATCAGTTGTTGATCATTGAACCATGATAAAAAAATAGTTACGGCAAAAAGCATTAAAGTTGAAGAAAAGTACATTGGGGTTGGGGACAGAGAAAGAAAAGAGAACATTCAAAAATTATTTTTTTTAAGTGTCACAGAAGTGGGACCTATTGGTGGCATCCCATAAGAAACTAAAAAAAGAGAGATATATAGAAATCAGTCACTCACGGTATACTGATGTTCATCTCTTGCGCTTCTACGGGCTGGTTGATTCTGAAGCAATTTTTGCAAACGCTGAACCAACTTGGTCAACTCAGGAATTACTTCTTTTGACATGTTATTACTGGGGAAACCAAATGGGGTTGTTTTTTTAATATCAAAATATCAGCAAAACTATCAGCAAATGCATTCTGTTGCCTTTATAATTTCAAGTAACACACAATTCTGGGTATTCGTTTCAACTAATTTAAGAGAACACTTCTAACTTTGCTTATTATTTCCTTTTACTCCAAGGCAGAAATCTTGCGGGGTATCACATATTAAGATATAACAGTGGAGTCCTCATAAACCAAAATCTACAGGTCTGCGAGATTGGTTTAGCCATTTTTTCAGTTTAGCCAGATTAGTCAAACAGCAGACAAAAAAAGGGGAACATTTTCGTTCAGTTCACTTCTGTATTCAGATTTAAGCAAACTCCTCTGTATTATAGTTACAAAGTTTAACCATACTAAAGCAGTAGCAAATATATATATACGTTCTTCTTTTTCTTCTTCCTCGTTCTCGAATATGTATACGTATATGTAGTGCATGGTCCCACAAAATTTCCTTCTTCCTCCTTTTCAGCCCGTTGCTGTCATCATCAATTTTGGTACATAGGGGCAACTCTAGCTGTGTACCAACCATAATCCACAGTGAGAACAGCCCTTCAAATAACACAACTTCCCATTTCTAGACAAGACTGCCACTTTTTGGAGTCCCAAATGCTTAACTCAAAGGTGTACAGAGAATCCATAAGGCAAAAAAATAAGTTTTGGTCATTTAGATGTACCCTACGCATGGTGCTTTCTCACTTCACTATGAACTGTATCACATGGTCTTTCTGTGGAAATATACTGGTACACCATTTGTACATAATGTTTTCAACCTGATAGATCCATGCCAAAACAGTAATAAGCACCAAATACTAGAGAATGGGTTCAATCTTCTAAATGCCTGAGCCTAAATCCAGCAATGTATCAGAAAGTGGACAGCTTCTATTTTCCCTTTCATTATACCTGAAAATCCATATAGAAAATGTTATTGCAAGTTGCCACCAGTGCAAGTCAGTGAAGAATGAGGCTCCATGGAGTAAACATTGTTTGCGTCTAATCTCAATGACAAACCAAGCATTTCAGATAGATTGTAAGAGCTGATGGAGGAGAAGTGAGTTAACAGAGGAAAAGGACAAAAAACTTTCTACTGCCTCTGTAAACCTATATTTATGTAGACCCTATATCTGTAGAGACCATCATCACTACATAAATTGCTACCTCATAATTAATAAGTTCTGTCTGACATTTTTGGCCGTTATGAGTTATTAAGACCATGAGGTCAGAAAGCAAATGCTCTATCTGCTCTATCAAAATTGTAAAAATATTCGTAGTCGTTACCAAGATATTCAAAGAACTGCATTAAAAAAAGCATGACATATTGTGAAACTAAAAAATTTTGATATCAAATTTCTCAAAACTAGGTACTGAGCAGATAGAACTTTGTAATTCTGAGGTAGCGCAATGGTTACCACCCCTGGAAGTGCAAAAAAAATTCAATACAAATTATTTTCACGACAAACCAGAGTGAGAAGACAGCAGAAGAATGGCACAGTTACCTTATGTTCTTAGTGCTACTCTGCAGCGCATGGTGCTCTTTCAGTTGATGTCTCAGTTGCGGAGCCTGTTCAGTCACATTAGGCAGGGGCTCTGTATCAACACAAACAACAAAGTCATTTATCACAACATGGCCAGGAAGAAAGAGGACATAAACATACTTTTCAATGTGTTTTTTTCAGCCACTTTTTTGACAAAGATGATCATATTAACTGCAGTACTCTCATAATAAAGTTTTTAAAAATATTAATAATAGAGAGGGTTTTATGGCGCTCGCAACAGCATAAGGTCATATGAGCGCCAAGGGATGGGTGTCAACAGAGAAGTCTTTACAGGGAATCAGACTTATAGACTGCTCACCTCTTTAGCTTCAACAGCACAAGGTCTTCTTCGACAATCAAGGCACCCCAAAATAGCAGGTCACAAGGGAGTGACAAACATAGAAAAGAAGTAGAGGAAAATGACAATAGTAAGGATCAGGAAAGAAAAAGCAGCAGTTCCCTGTTGTAGATCAGGCACAGTTATGAGCGTGACATGAGTCAGCCCATTTACAATTCTACTTTGCTTGAACGAAATATGTCCCCCCTTTGGGAATGGCCTAAAGACACTTCAGTCAGTGGCACTGCCCCGGGGGGTAAAGTTTTCAGAGACATAGCAATGCGAAATACAATAAAGAGAGAATGGCAGTGATTGATAGTCAATAAACAAAAGACAGAGAATATGCTGAGAGACATCAACCTTGAACTTGAATCAACAATTTTATATAAGACATCACGCACACAATCCGTCCACAACAGAGGACTGCCATCTCACCAGATTCTAACTGTTCCTTGTACAGTTTCAGGCAAATGTTCCACAGCTGCAGCACAGATGGCAAGTTGACCTTCCCACCAATATACACACTCTCAATCTCATTCTGAGAACACGCAAAATATGCATTCTACAAAAAAGGGATTTAACATTTTATAAAATCAAAATCTTTCAAGTCAAAATCTTCATCAGAGTGTTCCAAATCTAAGATCCCAACATTCCATCCAAAGTAATGATAGACCTTGGCTCTTGGCCTGAGGTCCAAACTCAGGGATCTCCACCAAAGACCACTATAGTGAAGATAGCTGACATTTTTGACTGCACATTACTCTTAATACAACATACTTTTTAGTGGATCATTATTACTATTGGCTAAGTATAGCAAATAAGAAACATCAGTCTGCACCTTCTGCTAGTCATAAAACACCAAATGCCGTACACCTTCTAAAAGTTCAGCTTTTCCTCGTTACAGTGGTGTAAGTTGTTTATATGTCCAATTATCAGGAGCTGGAGAATCGCCGACGAAAGCGAAGTCCCTCGCGGTAAGAATGCGTGGTCGGCCGGTTAAAAAATTGACACGCGTGCATTCAAATGCTACGCGGAACGAGCGATGATTAAATACTGTCTTTTCATTGGCGGAGAACTGTAGAGCTCTAAACGGGCTTTTCCATGGTATATATTTGGCCTTTGGTGTTTAAATAGAAAGCTTTTAAAAATGCTGTCAAAATGTTTAAAGATCACTTTTTACACAAAATATGTAAAATACCGGCTTGAAAAAGACTTTAATGAAAAGATCAGTTTATTTTCTATTAGAATACAGTAACCAGCTTGGAATTATTCTACATTGATCCTTCCGCGAGACACGGAAAGCATGTGACCCCGCATGCGGGGTACACTACAGTATAAGCCGACTCGCTCGCCACGTGGGCCGGTGCAGCGCCGGCCGGGTCAACGCTCGGTGTTTTTGTCGAAATAACGACAGATCATCGTTTTCAAGTGATAAAATACTGATTTGTAATGATCTCACAGTCTTGAAAAAAATTAGGCCCCATATATTTGTTATAGTGATTGTACTCTGTTAATGTGGAGATGTTTAGTGCACTTGGTACTCTTTTATTGTCTGTCAAACATGGGGTTGCAGCCAGTGACTGACTTTAACAAATTTGATCAAATTTTAAACAACTACCATTTTCTTTAACCGTTTCGCACTTACAGCGTTCGTATGCGCCCGCGCCGGTGACCCCCGCTCATCCCTATCGCCACGTGGGTGTTTATTTCGTTGCCGCGGGAGGCTTCTACTTTTAATATCATCAGAAGTTTCACTTAGCTATCTTTATAGAGGAAGAGTTCCGGTTTACTATGGTGTTTTTCTTGTTTCGCTAGCACAAAGAGTTACTTTTTGAGCGGGAACAAAAGTCGGAGGAGATTTTAGTTGTAAACACGCCATCATGTCTCTAGGATGCATGGATGCAAAGCTGCCTGATATGAGTACGGCAGAAACAAAATAAAAACACCCAAAGAAAAGTCTTTTAGGTGCTTTCAAGTTTCCACCAGAGGCTTCAATCTCTGTGAATGTGTTGTATTTCTTTTGTG